CGAACAAAGTCGACAGTACTTTATCAAAAAATCAGGTATATAATGAGTCAATTCTTTAAATTAAATTTCAGAATGTACGACCTCTTTCCTTGTCAATGCAGGATGTCCACTTCTTTCAGCTTCTCCACAATTAACCTATGTAGAAGTAAAAGGGAAGAACAAAATTCAAAACCAACATTAACATGATAACAACATCACATCAAAGACAATCTACCAGATAAATAGAAAATATAAAACATACCGGAATTCTAGATCCGGATACTTTTCCTGATACGAGAGGCTTCTGCCTGCCTCCTTTCTGAAACTGTAGCAAAAAAGCAAAAAATGTATATTAAGCAAGGTTCAAAAACAAAAACCATTAGTTAACTTTTGCAATCTTTAAACCACATCCTGGATGATCATAGAAACATCCTCTTGTCAAAGGTTCAGAAGTGCTCATGCAAGTGCCACAGCTTCATTGCAACATGCATGAGAGGGAAGAGAGAGGAGACGCAGAAATGTTATCTTTTTTTCCACATTCAACTATTCAATTGTCAAACAAATCTTTCCTTTTGACAGAGGAGACAGGACTATGCAAGCAATATTTGACTTTAAATTTTGACATGAATCAAAATCTTTCTATATTTTATTTTATTAATTTGATAGGAACATAAAGATTCTTTAACCAAAAAAAGGAGAAGAGGGAAAAACCCCCAATTCTTTTTTCAAAAGAACAAAAAAAAAAACCAGAAAGAGGGTTTGAAATTTTGAAACTTGATCTATCTCTACTTGTATTACAAAATCAGGCCACATATTGTCTCACCACATTTCAGATAAAAAGCGATCCACGCAAAAACTTTTCAAGTGGCCCCTGCTAATTGAGAAAGAAACTCATTGTTTTTTTTAAAGCAATCAAAAACCTTGCAGGACTTGTCTATATCCTCGAAGGCAATTCCGAATCTTAAACTAAGGAAAGTTCCAATGTTGCTGACTAGGCACAGCTATCATAAAGCAGAAGCATACAACACTATTGCTCGAGTAAATGAAATTCAAACCAGGACACACAATAGCATAGCATAATTTTCAACCTAAGACAAGTCCATCACAAAGATACTTTGCAGAAAATTTGTGGATCAAATATTGGAATAACTATAAAAACGGAAGCAGAACAAATTATCCATGGATACATTACACTTTTCTACACACTAAAGACCCCAATTCAACAAAAAGATTTAGAGATCAGAGACTTAATCATTACCAACGAACCCTCAAATCACCAGAAAGCCCATATCGTAAAATCACATTAACATACTTTTTACACAATAAAGATCCAAGTTGAACAAACATTTAGGAGGATCAGAGCAACTTAATCAACTTACAAGAACCCCAAACCAAATTCACCAGAACCTATATCGTAAAATCACATTAATCAACTTAAGATTGAGTAACAGAAAACCAAAAATCCATCAAAAAAAAGGACACCAAGATCAGTAATAATTGTACAAATATCAACAAGGATTCAGATCAAACGAACCATTGATAGTATCCAATAAAACCCAAAAATCAAACAGCGAGACCTAAGGGGTGATCCAAATCAGATCACAGATACTAAAATCTAGAAGAGAGGAGAGAGAGGACCGAGTGGGTGTTTCCGACTGAAGGAGCTCTTGGGCCATGGCGGATTGATGATACAACGATCACCGACTATGCGATACTTGTGAAAGTGATGGAAGCTAAAGGAAATTATTAGCGGTTTTTTTTTTTCTCTCTCCTGAAAACATCAAGAGATGGATGTCATTTCAAAAAAAGCGAAATTTTATAAGGCAGCCTTTAAATAGTGACTAAAATTAAGGCGAGTTTTACCATTTATTTATTTTCCTCTCCCCTTAAAAAAAAGAAAAGAAACAAAAAAATACACTCATAATTAGGAACGAGATCTTGAAAGTTATTATAGGCGTAAAAATTCATATTTCATTTTACTTATTTTTGCAACTTTTAATTTTATGGATGTTTGGGCTTTTTAGTTTTATTAGGGATTAGAATTTTTAAAATCTTTAAATTTGTATTTTTTTGTATCTGAGCCTTGAAGATTCACTCCATCATCCAAGTATCTATATGTCTACATCAGTTATGACATCAAGGGTACTCAAAAGAAAAGATTAAAATCATGTTAAAAAATAAGGCCTTCCATTCAATGATCAGCCAAAATTCACGCTTAAAAACGACGAACAGCTACTGTAAATTTATTTGTGTCTACTGTTTAGTAGTAAGCCTTCTCCTTTACTCACACTTTAATAGAGCAGATGATCTCTACTCCCAGGCCGCCGCCTTCCCATTAGACATAAACACTCTTGTGGAAAATACCTTTTACTTATTCTCTATATACTTATTCGTATTAGTGTCAAAATCTCGCACTAAAAGAAAAGTTGTGAAGAAATCCTTTTACACGGGTGTATTGTATTATATTATAGTCAACATTAAAATCAAGACCGAGAGTGATTGAAATGATGTGCGATGGGCCCAAAACAGCAGATCCAGCATACTTACCTAACCCGTTTATTAATTTTTTTGATTTGTCTGTATCTAGAAGTAATGTTTAGAAAGATTGTCAGAAATATGTATACAAATGTGTAGCCATTAAGGCTTTGATTTTACTGTTGTAGAATTCGTTGTAAAGCTGGTGACTAGGCTTTTTTGTGCAAAAGCTTTAAGAAAACGTCTTAAGGATGCGCATGTTCTCTTGGCATTTTTATTTTGTATCCCATAAATGTATTCGACTTACGCGTATACACGATCGCATACTACTCTACGATGTTACTACATGCCAACGGATAGAGTATGTCACATAGGAAGAAATTTCCCTTCACTCTTCCTTGACAAAAATTTTCTCCAACTTCTCACAACTCTCATTCAAAAAAAATTCCTAAGTGTTTCAACGTCTTTCAGCACATCTCAAAGTCCTGTAAACATAATCTTTGTAAAGAATACTACATATATATGAAGTGTGAGTGAGCTCATCGTGCCTTTCTTGCTCATGGATATATTTCGTCAACATAGTGCACTGTAAGTGTAGCGTTCTCTCTGCTGCTCCATAAACATTTGATTCTTCAATCTCTCTCTGGAAAGAGTAACTACATGTTACTACAGCGAATGCTTGCTTGTTCAACTGGTCATTAAATATTAGCATGGCTTAAACCTTCATAGTAGTCTATTGTTTCTATTTCATTACTGAGTAGTACTTAGCTGAAGAACCGTGTGAGCCGTTGGTTAGGCATTAAATGGTAAATTGTAGGCAGAATGGGAAATGAGAAATAGAAAACAAGAAATAATTACTATGTTAAATGAGGCTAGCTTTCAAGAGGCGCAGTACACTGTAATGAAAGCAAACATTGCTTAAAAAATAGCTTTTACCAAATAAGAAAAAAGAATTTTTATAATATAAGGAGAGCAACCTGAGAGAGATATCAAGAGAAATATTTTTTCAATAAAGAATTTTAAAATCAAATTTTATACTTTTTAGAGAAACACTTAAATTAAAATCAGATTCCTAAGTACTAAAGCTTATACAAGGAATTAGAGATAAAAAAAACTAAGATATTCAATATTCTGTTATCATTAAGGCCTCTGTAGATCCTATTTGTACATTATAGGTTCGGAAAAATTTCACACACCAATAAATAAACCAGATAAATATAAACAAGAAGCTTACAGGCTAGCTGTGGGGATATTATTTTCTGAAGTACCAACACTGCAAGGTGACGCCGACGTGTCAGAGCCGAGTATTGCGAGTGCCACGTTTCTTGGTCGTTTGTGCCGAGGTCATTTCGGCCTAGGCCCAAGGTTACCTCCGAAGATATCGGAATCTTTGAGCATAAGCGGATAAGGACAGAGTCCTAGAATGAAGAGGGAACTCAACTTGAATATGGAACAAGAGTGCCTAGATTGGGAGGATACTTCAGTTGGGGTAAAGATAAGAGCTCTTAGAGAGTTTATCCTAATCCACTAGGAGTCCCAGATTAGCCAAGTAAATCCAAGTCCTTAGGCCTATTCCGTTAGCCCCTATTGGGACGTAGGATTGTCATTGGCTATAAAGAGAGCACCCCATGGTCAGAGGTATGCTCAATGAATAGGAATCCCAGGCCCTTCTTAGATACTCGCCGACTACGGCATCTCGTGAAGGCTTGCCTCTCTAGTTCACTTTTGAGGTGTAGACTCTAGAGATTATACTCTCTTCTATGATACAGTCGGAGTGCACCGCGCTGCCGGTGTCGAAAACACCGCGGGTTGCTCGTATATTTGCTGCTTGCAGGTCAGTAAGGTGCATCTATTCTGCCAGTGCTCTCCAGCTGGATTACTAAAGCGGGCAGATCTAGTGGTCCGAACAGTCGCCACACAATTTGGCGGCCGTCTTGTAGGGAAAGAAAAGAGAATTAGATGGCCAATGATACGAAACAGAAGGATCAGACTTTGGAGACAACGCTCCTACTGGGAATGAGAGATCTAATTAACCTCGACGTTGAAGGTGACAAACGCAACACAGAAACTCGTGACCAGGAGTCACGGAGTTGAAAGGCGCCTGGCCAGGAGGTTGACGCCACCAAAAGACACACAATCGAGCGGACTAACTTAACAACGAAGATGACTCCAGGATATGGAATTGATAAAATACCTGCGAGGAACGAAGACCCTTCCAGAAGGATGCAAAGACAGGGGCCATGAGCGCTCCCAAGGAGATAACATTCAAGTATAGAAGAACTCATCCTGAGTGAGCAGATTCTCGGATTGCCAGATCCTGATCCCGGGATCCGAGAAGATATGATCTCAGCCTTAGACAAGTAGACCCCGAGAAGACGAGAGCTCAACTTTAAGTGGGCAAATCCAAGGTTCTAGAAGGAAACACAGATCTTCCAGTGCGCTCTAGACCCATAGAGCCGTGTGCCACAAGCTTACTGTAGTGAGTCCAATCCGCTGACCTAGAGCAGGGTGGTCCACCACACTGTCGGAACTCGTTTCCTCACCGCGAACCCGTTCATAGCCTGTCACTGCCGATCCTTATATATATATCATACATGGTCTCACAAAGTGTATACAGTATTGTTGCTCGAATATTCACGATATCAACAGTTGAGTGCTCATTTAACGCCAAGTGCTCTGCTCACCGCGTCAATCCCTTCCTCGCATGCACGCGATCGCCTTGCTGGTGCGTGGCCAGACCCCTCCTTCGTACTTCGTATTCATCACTTCCGCGCGGATCTCTCTCTCTTGCACTACTCTCTAATCAACACGACACACACTTGCCATTTCGAGGATTGTATCATAAGCTTGTGTCCGGCGATCATACTCCGATTACCCTTACGTTGCATTGCTCTTCAGCGCAACTATAGCCGCTCCGGGTATCGGTCGACTCGAGGCTCATCTTGTCCGGATTAGTGACCCTAGACCAAATGCTGCAGAGGTCTACAGCAGCGTCACATCTAGCGCGACAATCTAGACCTCACAAAGCAGTCATGTATCTGTATAACCTCCTGGCTTCGTGAATGACGCAACTGCATTCCCATTTGCGTCTCTCCTCGTGCAATGTCACTGACAGAAATAAATCGAGCCAACCGTGGGCGATGGAAAACAACTGACAATTCACATCTCAGTTGTAAGAATGTTTTTAATTTATTTCCATTTTCACATAGCTATCTGAGGAATAGTTTTTATTTTCATACGCACTTGTAAAGTGTTTGGTCCCAACGAGGATATAACCCAAATTCTGTAAATGTCTACTTCCGTCCTGGTCAATCGGTATGTATTGAACTAAAAACTAAGGCTCTGTTACCCGTCAAAACTTGCTTAGCCAATTGCCATACTTTGGATCATTTCCTTTACAACAGTACAATATGGCTTGCATCCTGCCAAAAAAATAGACCAAATATATCATATATTCATTGTCACCATTGAAAAATTCTAGAAATCCACCTAGCGATTATTGATTATCATCTAGATATGTTATATTTGTAATTCAAATTTAAATACTACGTATACGATAGGGTATTATAACCATATACCATAGGTTTATCAAATTACAAACACAGATTTTCTCAATAAATCGGAGCGGCGAACAACATTTTATGATTATGTGGGGTGATCGATATAAGACAATCACACAAGTTGGACACCTCCAATGTGATAACAAATACCTACTGGAAGTGATCGATAAACATTCCACACTAGTATTACAATCCACTGAAAAAAGACATTTTATATTAGGAATATTAAAGTATACTCTCAAATGTTCATCTTCGCGATTTGTCGCGGATCGAGGCATCAGATTGGGCCGGTGTCGAGCGGACCTTTTAAGTCATATGCGCGGAGAAGTGTGATCCGCTCGAGGGAAAAATAAACATCCAGTTATTTTGCAGGCGAATAAACTTCTTGAACTCAGCCATTCTCCGCTTGGAAGCGGGGGAATGTGCCGGCTTCGAGCGGACAAAGAAGATAGGCAACTTTGAATGCATTTTTGCATTTTGCTTCGGGGGCGCTGCCCCGGACCCGCCAAGAGGAGCTGCCCCCTGGACCCTCGCGAGCTGACCAGGCAACTCGATCCCCGTCATAATCAGCGAAGTGGCAATCTTGAAAGAATTAACATCACAAAACTTCTCTGCAAGGCACAATTCGGGTTGGATTCGCATCTAAAAACTCATAGCCTCATTGAAATAAAAACTGCGAAAACAAATACAACTTAAAGGAGTTTTGTCAAACGGGGTTGCGAAGAATAAAAACCTAACAACCATCATCACTATGAAAAAGGATTCAAAATATTTAATTTGAATTAAGATATAAACTTGATTGAGATATGCTTATTTAATGAATAATAGATTCAATTGTTGGATTCTTCGATATTTCATCTAATCCATTAGTAATTTGTGTACCTTGTTTGGATATTTTGGGTCTAAATATATATATATATATATATCTTTTATTTATAGATAATATGGTTTTTATGAAATGAATGATTGGTTCATTTTATACATTTTCGATAGTTAAAAAAATACCACATCAAGTTCAGAAATGTTCAATAGTCATATTTGATGGCCCATTTTGTTATCTTTGTATGACACATCCCAAATACCATTATAAATTATAATAATAATAATAGGTGTAATGAGGGCAAGCAATAAGAATTCTAGTTCAAAAAATAAAAATAAAAATAAAAAATAAGGCAATTGACAACATTTTTTTCAAGAATCTTGTAAATAAATATTTTTACAAGAATTCTAGTACTGCTTGTGAATTAATATTTTTATGTCTTTCACACATCCACAAGCAATACTTTAATATTCAAGAGATATCAAATCAATTTCCCCAATTTAATAGCCAAACACCTTACCCAATATTCCAAACTCTATTGTCAAAACTACACCTACACAAACTACTATTGCACTGTTTTTAACGACCCATACAATTACACTATTACACGTTGCACCGTACATCCAATACATCAAAACTTAGGCATCCACACCGATTTTCTTTCCCACAATGTTTAGACTGTCTATTGCTCCATATAAAAATAATAAACAATGGTCCAGAAAAATCTTACCTCAATTAATGGCATCTTGAATGTTCTGTGCCCTTAATTCCTATCGCAACTTTTCTCTTGAATCCTCTGTGAAATCGTGATAATAAAATAATATGAAATCTTTTTTTTTCTTCTTTCCCATGCACTCTCACTGCCGCAAGATATAAAAGACACAAATTGACTTCGTAACCTAATTTTCCAAAATTAAAATGTTACCTGTCTAAGTTACAAAAATTACAAAATCACCCATAACTAATTTCTTATTATTTTAATTATATTACTAAAACTCGGATTTCACAATTTGAGTCACATCTTTGATGATGATGTCAGGTATGTAATTAATGGTGTAGAAGTGAAGGCTACTGTTTGCACCCGTTTTTGTAAAATGTTTGTCGACAAGTGCACAAATCAAATTGTGACATGTGGCAACAAAGTCGTAGTTGGGGTGCGTATTAATCAGAGGATTATGTGGCAAGGAAATGGTAGTCACATGTGCAATACAACAAGAGCGTGTCATGGGCTAAGATTGTGGAGCAGTTGCAAGCTTTATTGGAGATCATGGGCTAATTTCTAGGAGATGTTGATGTTAATAGGAATTTCCTCTGTTGATCATGCTCATTAGTTAAGGGGAATTGGGTGATGATGTGGCTAGAGGTTTAAATGTATAGTTGGGACAAATATAAAAGTTCAAAGAAGCAAAGGAGATTGCAAGTAGTTATGGGTTTTAGTAAAATGGTCTCCTCCGTCGAAGGTAGTGCTAGAGATAATGAGGGACATGTGGCAAGTCTATGTGAAGTGCTAGAGAAAGATGAAGAAGCAGTTGCAGCAGTTAGGGAAGATTGGCCAGCAAATTTCAAGGAAGGTGGGATCATGTGCTAGAGTTTCAAGTGAAAGTATAAAAGCTGAAAGTTTGTAGAGAGAAAGGGCATCAACAACTCAACAACACTTAAGTTTTAAACTTAGGAGTAGCTCTGTAATTTAGGAGTAGTTTTTTTTTTTTTCCTATAAAATTGTACTTGTAACTTAGCGAACTTTAGTAGTTTCATTCAGAAATTACTCTTTGTTTACTTTGTTTATTTTGTAATTGTCAGTTGTTCGAGAGAAATCCTCATCCTTTTGAGGCATTCGAACTAATTCCACAGTTGCTTGATTGTTCTTATTTAAATTGTTTTGTTTAAATCATTGCTTGGTCGCTGTCGATCAAGGCCTAGCATAATTTTTACTAATAGCTACAAAGGGAGAATTTATTGGTTGGTCCAAGAACAATGTCACGTGGTGTTTTATATGCACTATAATTAGTGGAGGATGTAGAATCCACGATTTTGTGTTAGTTGATTGGGAAATAGAGGGATGTGGTGATTTGTGATTAGTTAGGGACATAGCCACATGGTGCCTTGGACCAATTAATAATTTTTCCTATGAAAAGAAGTAAGAATTGCCTAGACGAGAGTGGGAGTAAAATCAGCCATTAAAGTGGGGGTAAAGATGTAATTTTATCTCCTATGGCTTTTAGTCCCAAAAGTCAATCCCAATTTTTGAGTGAAAATAATACAATTTTAAATCTTTTTCCGTACAATTAAATTCTCAAATTATCAAAATAATTTTAAATATTATATACAAAGTCTAGAGGGTTCACGTCTCAAATCTTAAATTGAATCGGGCCTTGGTGCATGTAAATCAAGACATTTATACACTAAAATCCTTAATTCACTAGAATGACTTTAAAATTAAATTAATATACTCTATTAACATTAGAATAACATGTACAGATGAATCAGTCCCGAATAAAATTGAAGTTGTCAATGTAGTGCAATTCTTAAACAATTAAAATGATTCTAAATTATCAAAATGCAATATACTAACTAAAATATCATCTGTCTCTCAAGTCTCAAATCCAGTTAAGAATCAGTGCATGCAAGTTAAGATGAAGTGATAAGAATACTATGAGGGTTTTGTTATAATTATCAAAGTTAATAAAGCCTCTATTACATTATTTAAAAGTTCGAATTGTCCCTTTCATTATGAGAAGATGCTCGAATGTGCACTCTAAAAAATGTGCATATGGTATGCCTTTCATAACGTTTTTACAAAATTTCATAACTTAAATACAAAATGTCATAACTTTTTTACTACAAAAATATAACTTTCTTTCAATATAAAATGTCATTACAAAAATTACAAAGTGTCATAACATTAGCATCCCTAACTTTAGGATATACATCATAAATTCATTATTAATAACTTTACCACAAAATGTCATAACATACCTCATAAATAATCATAACTTTTATCATAAAAGATCATAATTTTCTTACGATGTACACCTTTTTAAAGGGTGCATGCCGTTGATTTCTCCTCATTATGATAAGGCGAAGGCAACAGGAACTCAAATCATTTACGCTATAAAACCAAAAATAGTTGGGTTCCTTTCACGCAGCTTGATTCCAATATGGAGGAAATCTCCGTGGATTTATTAAGAGTTCGTTCGAACAATTCATCGAAGATCTTACTCCCAAAGTGTTTGGTGAAAATTCCTTCTAAGATAACTCTATAGTGCATTAGTATTGCTGGCAAATTAGGTGGTCCATCATTCTTTGGCCGGGTATCACTTACCTCCATTCTCTCTCTGCTGAAACACCCATTTCTTTCTACTAGCTTTGTCATCTCTTTGGGAGAGGTAGTAATATACAAAGGCAAATTGAAGGAGTCCACTTCATCTTCATTGATCATTCCCTGCCACAAAGATTACCACTAATGTCTTGGCCTTAGAGGTCCACTCTCTTAATCTCACTCGAGTAACATTAAAATAGAACACAAATTCACTACAAAAAATTAAGATTCTAAAAACCAAAATTTAAGGACAAAATTAGTTTTTAGAGATCAAATATTTTTATTGCGAAAAGTAATATTATTATATTTTTAGCAATTAAAATTGGACATCAGAGATGAATTATTATCTTTTGGGACCAAATTTTGTCACAAAAAATAAATCATTTTGAGATCAAATTATTTTGTCACTAAAAGTATATTTATTAGTGACATTTTCAAAATTTTATTGCTAAAAACCTTATTTTTGAGTTTTCGAAAAAATCTTTTAACGACTATCCTTATGATGATAGAAGTTGATCCCTAAATATCTTTTGCAACAAAATAACTAAAAAATTTGATTTTTAAAACTCTTATATGTTGAAGTGATTTAAGAAAGATATAACGATTCATTATGCATTTCGGTTCATAAATATTCCTACGAATTTAGTAGAACAAGAAGGGAAGTCATAATTTATTTATTTATTTTTTCCAATTGAGTTCAAAATTAGAGAAACTAAAATAAAGAAAAAAATAGAACACATTTTTGGTTCAATTTGTCTCCATTCTCTATATGATCCTAAGTATATGTCAGACTACTAGTCCAAACATTAACTTCCTTTATTGAATAATACTTAATTTTGACTCACCAATTTCACCATTATCAAGAAGGCTTTGGTTGAAAGCATCAAAAAACGGCCCATGTGGATCCTGAGAATAATGAACTCCATCAGCAAGACCTGGGATGATCAATATCATCATTCCTCCAACTATAATCTCATCAGCTCTAGCATTGAAAAAGGTATCCATGTCCTTTGCAAATTGAGCTGCATAAACATCGGCGATTTCTTTCGAGGCACTTGTATAATGAATCTTTCCCTTGTTCCATGCAAGAGAGCCATTGTCCAACAACTCTTTTGGCACCTTAGAGAGCCATTGGAGTGCAAAAGAGGAATACATCAAATGGATAGAGGACTTGGGGGAATAACCGACCGTAGAAAGAGCCTGGCACTCCAGCAACAAAGTATTGCCTATTAGGAGGTAGAGTAGTGAAAAGGGTGTTGAAATCATTGGAAGCATGATCATTGAAAAACAACTGAAATTCAAGCATCTCAGTTGTGAGATTTTTTGAATGGTATTTCCATTCAATGGCTTCTACGATACTTTTCATAGCATTGAAAGTGTTTGGCCCAACAGAACAACCCAAATCTGCAATTCGAATGGTGTTTGAACTAAAACTAAGGCTTGTTATGTCAAACTTCTTAGCAATTGCCTCTATGATCATTTCCTTTACAAGATTTTTGGCTTCACCCTGCAAAAACAGACCAAATTTATATACATTATTATTGCCGTCATCACTATAAAAAAGGATTCAAAATATTTAATTTGAATTAAGATATAATCTTAATTAAGATTCATTCCTAAATTCTCATAATTTTAAAGTTCTCTCTTTCCTACATGGCAACCCTCTTTAATTTCATGGTTTATGGATAAAGATTCGAATTTCAAAATTCCTCCAAATAGATAAATATATAAAAGGGGCATTTACATACAAGTCCCATCTTGTGAACTTATACTCCTTTAGGTCCTAGATAAAATTATTTGCTCTTTCAAGTCCCATTAATTTTTAATACACCAATTTACCCATCAGCTTGAGAGGGCGATCTTTGGCCTCTTCTTCGTTCTCATCGTCAGACTCAGAGGTTGTGAGGTTCACGCAAGAGCAGCGCTCGAGGGAAGTGAAGAACGTAGAGGCTACGCTCGTGCCCACCCAGCTTGCCAGGCGATCGAGCTTCTCGTTCAAGAATCCTGAACTGGTGTTCTACTTTCCATCTCCATTAGAGTTTGGATGTTAGACAGAGAGATCTGCAAAACACTCGTACTCTGGAATGCTTCTTCACTCTGGGCGGAGATGCAGATCTGTGATGCTAACTGTTCAGAAACCTATTTTGATCAAATCAATTGCATGGTCGATTTTATTTCTGAATCAGATTAGATTCGAATCAAATTTCTGGTTTTGAAATTTGCAGAACACACTTCTCAATTAATAAGTCTCTTGGGTTTGATTTTACTTTCTTCTGTTTTTCGTTACTTTTCATTTCGAATTTCCCTTTTAGTCTCTGTTTATGGGTGTGATCTGGGGTTTTTTGAAATTGAGAACCTTCTTAGTTTATAATATTCTCAATTTTAATTATGAAAAAAATTAAGAAATTTCTCAAAATTGATAATTATAAATTTCTTAGAATATTCGCAGAATTATCTTTCTTTTCAATCCCATACTTTTCTCAGAAGCAAAACAAAATTTTTTAATTTTGATAATTATATACTGAAATCATTCTCTGTTTGAAAATTGAGAATATTCTCAGTTTTGAAATTGAGAACATTCTCAGTTTTGGGATTAAAGGGCAAAACGTCTTTTTACCTATAAATGGGACTTATTGGTTCAAAATTTTTTTGACAGGACCTAAGCTACCACCAAATATGTAAACAGGACTTTTTGGTAATTAACTCTATATAAAAATTGATAAATAATTTATGAAAATTAATTTCATGGTCTACAGATAAAGATAGAAATTAAATAATTAATTTAAAAAAATTAATTTCATAACTTATAGATAATTTAAAATTTCTTCGCATAAATAAACTTATAAAAATTGACAAATAACTTATAAAAAATAATTTCATGACCTACAGATAAGATAAAGATAAAGATTAAAAAATTGATTTAAAAAAAATGAAATAATTCATGACTTTAGTTGCATTAATTCGATCATTTTTTCATTGAGTAACATATATAATTTTTTTGTTAGCATATAATGATTAAAGCTATCATTTATTATATTTCTTCAAGAACAATTCAAATATTGTCATCATTTTTTTAATAAATAAAATGGATTAAAATTATTTTCTTATATAATTTTTATAATCTTACAAAATTCTTATCATGATTTAAGCTTTTTATATGTTGTAGGAACTATATTATTCAAGCTATGGAGAAAATGATTGTGAAGGACTTATATGCATGTGTCATTGATAGAGGAAATCAAAGATAGAAAGTTGCTAACATGATCAATTAATGATTTATTTGAGAAGTTTTTTTTTTATGAGCACGGTAACAAAGTTAGATTAATTTTTTTAAAAAAAACTACTTAGAAATTATAATTAAAAATTAAGATTTATTCATAATTTAGTCCCACAATAATAATATTGTTAGGTTTTTATTCTTGGCAATCCCGTATGACAAAATTCTTTTCAGTTGTACTTGTTTTCGCACTTTTTATTTCAGTGAGGCCATGAGTTTTTAGATGCGAATCCAACCCGAGTTGTGCCTTGCAGAGAAGTTTGTGATGTTAATTCTTTTAAGATTGCCACTTCACTGATGTTAATTCTTTCAAGATTGCCACTTTACTGATTATGACGGGATCGAGCTACCCAGTCAGCCTGCGGGGGTCGAGGGGGCAGCGCCACGGTGGGGTCGAGGGGCAGCGCCCCAGAAGCAAAATGCAAAAATGCATTCAAAGTTTCCTGTCCGCTCGAGCGAACATTCCCTCGCTCAAGCGGAGAATGTTGAGTTCCAGAAGTTTATTCTCCTGCAAAAATACTGGATGTTGTTTTTTCCCGCTCGAGTAGAACTTTCCGCGCTCGAGCGTAGGTCCGCTCGAGCGGCCAATCTAACGCTCGAGCAGAGATCGCGGGACAGTTCTCTATAAATACGTGTTTCAGTCCAAATCTAGGATTATGCCTCCAGATCTTCTTCTTGGGTTCTAGGGTTTATATCTGGGGCTATTTTGATAGTTTTCTTTGATGTTTAATTAAGTATTCAACTCATGGGTTAAGAAGAATACATCAAAGGTTTGTTTGTTCATTCTATACAAAAGAGAGAGTTGTTCTTCGGTGGATTCTGAAGAATTTGAGCCTGAAGCTTTGGTGGATTCTGGAGTGACTCATCGTCGTGGATTCAATATCGACATTATGGATTCAACGTTGGGCAAGACAATTCTGAGGTGAAGGCCATGGTGGAAGAGGCATATAGGGGTCGGTTCAATTCGAGCGTGGATTCACTAGGTAATTTAGAGTACACTTGTGTAATTCCTTTTTTCTTCTTAGTGGATTATTTTGTGGCTTGGGCCCGTGGTTTTTTATCACAACTGTGTGAAAAATCTAGAAATCTCCTAGATATTGATTTGTGATCATATATCAATTTTAAGCAGTAAATAACAATCCCAATCAAACAATCAAGACAAATCGACACTAAGTAAATTTATGATAACTTTTTTGAGTTTATAGAATTTCTCTCTTTTAATACGTTATTTTTGTTTTGTATTTTTAATAGGATCAATTAACGATTTATTTGAGAAGTGTTTTTTTTTAATTTTATTTTATTTTATTTTTTGAGTAAGGTAACGAACTTGAATTAAATTTTTTAAAAAACTACTTAGAAATTATAATTAAAAATTAAGATTTATTCATAATTTGGTCCCATAATAATAATATAAACCACTGATTTAAAAGTTTAAGTCAATTTATGATAACTGTTTTGAGTTTATAGAATTTCTTTCTTTTAATACTTTTTTTTTTTTTTTGCATGATACTATAGTTTGATACAAGTTATTTATGTTATCAAGTGATTGTGATACTATTATTCCAACAATCTTTGTGATTAACAATTTTTTATGCATATCAAATTTTATTGTGAAATTTTGTGGATTAATTATGGTTAACATCTACTAGGATGACCTAATATCATGACTTGCTGCTATTAAAACATAATTCAAAATTAGAATAATTTATTTATCACACAAAATATATATAGTCTAATTTTCCGTGCATAGCACATATTACCGCTAGTGAATCATAGATTCAATCGTTTAGAAAATTAGTTAAATAGATTAAATTTTCTTTTATCTGTTGCATGTTGGACAATCCATAGTAACTTGCTAGCATTAAGGTGTAGATAACCTTAGAAAAGGCATATGTAGAATTCCAAAAAGGAGTTTTACAAGATTTATTAATAAATTAGTCCGCATTTGGAAGCATAGTGGACCTAAAATTAAACAATTTAAAAATATAATAATACACGAGACTATTGTTAAAATTATAAATTAATAATTGTAATTACAAATTTTGATAACAAAAAAAAAAAATTCATGATACAACGAAACTTAAGGGGCAAGAGTATAATAGACAAAACCTTAAAAATGTTATAAGGATCGAATTGGAACAAATCAAAAAGTTGAAGAACCAAATTGATGAAATTTAAGTACAAGTACTAAACAAAAACTTTGAAGACACTAGGAGGACCATTGATGTAATTGGCCATTTTCTTTTATAATGTTAGTTTAAGACTATAATGAAATTTGGAGATCACTTCTCATCATAATGGGAGGAACTCCTACAAAAAAGATCAGTATTTTATGGAGTCATATGTCATTTTAATTGGTGTTGCAAGTTTTGGTTGAGATTCATACTTATAGCGATCTCGGTTGTCCCTTTACTGTTTTGTTGTATTCCAGACTCGGTTCCGTGAAGTTGGTAGTGGTATCCATCTTGTTGCCGTCCTTTAATTCCACTTAATTGAGTTTTAGGATGTTTTGAGCAGGGTTGTTACAGGTTGGTTAGGCCTTGGTTTCAATTCCTTGTTGTCCAGTTTTTAGGCGATCCGCTCGAGCGGGTCTTCTTGTGCTCGAGCGGGGATTGCACACCTCCAGTATTTCGTGTTTCTGCAAAACTTCTGCAGATGTGATTTTTACGCTCGAGCAGGTTTGTTTACGCTCGAGCGGGCTTGTTGGCGCTCGAGCGGGTAGTACTTTTTGGGTATAAGTTCTGGGAGGGAGAAATCTACGCTCGAGCGGACTGGTTTTCGTGCTCGAGCGGAAGTGCTTTATTCTTGTGTCTTGGCGCTCGAGCGGGCCTTATTGCGCTCGAGCGTGTCCAGGAGCGGGAGTCTGTGAGGGACGCTTGAGCAGGGAGTTTGACGCTCGAGCGGGGCGACTCTTATTTAAAAGCGAGATTCGACTTTTGTATCACTTTTTCAAGTTCTCTTCTCTCTCTTACTTTTCCAAAAACACCATTGTTGAGCTTCTCACTCTAGAGCTCTACCTTCTCTCTAGGTATTGATCTAGTAGGAGTGATTTCCTCACCTTTGGCCTTTACAAAAAGGTTGTTAATCGTCGAGGGCTATCTTTTGATTCGAGAAATTCGTGATTTGGAGCATTTTTGTTTTCTTCACCTTCTTGGTTGGGAGTCATCTTTTGAGGTAGGGATAACTTACTCCTCACTATGGGTTTTGTCTTTAAATTTTAGCATTTTGAGATGTTGGGGTTGGGTTGGTATTGTTGTGAAAGTTTGGGGCTTTTGTGTAAATTTACAAAAGTTGGGGTTTTAGCTATATAAAACCTAGATGCATGTTTGGCATTGGAAAAGTGAAATTAATGTTAAAACATTAATGAAAATGGAACCCAAGGATTGTAATGTTAATTATGGAAAATGCCCTAATTACATTGGTTAATTAATTCGCATAATTAATTATGAGGAATGAGAAATTGATTTGGAAATGTATGGA